AGCCCAAGAAGCACACAGCTCTGAAGTGCAACACTGTCCCCATGGCAGGGCATCCTGATACAGGGTTGACCAGGAACCACAGAGCTCTAAGAGGAATCCTTCTCAGCATATGGTTCCCCTCCTAGGGTATCTCCAGTTGAGGTAAGGAGCTCAGCAGCCTTAGCCCCACTCCATTTCTTCCCAATACTTTTCATTGTTTTCTTAGCTTCTTCTTCAGATGAGAGTCACACCAGGTAGCAAATTTCATAAAAGAGATTTATTGGAGCAACGTGTCTAAGGATAGGAGGGAGGAATCCAGGAGTTGCTGTCCCTGTTCCTAGGAGAGCACTGCAGGGAAGTTAACAAAAAGCAGAAGTTTTATGGGATTTCTTACGGGGAGGAGCTTTTCATGGCAGATATTTGCAGAGTGAGGATTTTAGGATTTCAAGTTCTGAGCTTGGACTCACCCCCTTTCCCCTGCATCAGGCCCATGGGTTGGGATGGGAAGACCTTCCCAGCTTCAGGGGGCTGGGTGTCACTATTAGGGGAGGCTGGAATCTCAGTAAGGCTGGAGGATGATAAGGAAAGAAGATGTAGGCACCATACAAAATCCCATACAAAATCTTGGATTATGGTGTCTGCACCTTCTTTCCTTAGACACCAAAGAACAGCTCCTTTGGTGGCACCTCAGGATGGTAGCAGGCTGAGGTGTTGCTGTCTTGATAGGTCCCTCCATTTTGACAGATGTTACCATTTTGATAGCTTCTATAGCAGCACCTTGTGGTGGCATAGGCTGGGGCAGGAAGTAGGGGCCACTGATTTGACAGCTCTTGCAGTGCACTGCTCAGGCACTACAAAATAAAGTTGCCAAGCAATTAATTCCTTTTTGAAAAGCAGAACAAAACACAACATTAAAACTGAAAACCAAGTCCTCAAAGCACATGAGGGTGGGGAGGAGTAGCAGAATAAACAGCCCAGATGGTTTTGTTTCCTCCTCACACTGTTCCTCATTAGTTCTATTCTGGCCCCAACTGAGAAAGTGAAAGAACAATGGAGAACAGTGGGAGAATGCACAGTTGATGAATACTGGGTTTTTAAGCATTTCAGTTCCAGGAAGCTTACCTGCAAGCATGCTTATCTCACAAAGAAATAACAAAGGGGACTCTGTGGAAAGGAGAGTACAGGAAGAGGCAGACACATAGCCCTTAAAGCTGTTTGTTAGAGGAGAAAGGCCTGAAGCTTTCCCATGGCTGGTGCGGGGCCTGGTGGACCAGACATGCTTGCCCCTGTGCCTCCAGGGACCTCCATACATATACAAAAATCACCAGTCTATCCCAAACACTTTTGCCTGCTTTGTTGTGGGAATTTCTGCAAAACAGAGTCACCAGCCTTTTTTCAGTTGGGAAGAGGAAAATTTATTTCTTTAATGGTCCACACCCAGATCACTCTAGAATGGCATTGTGGCATTGGCTCTTGGCGTCATGTTTAGTAGCTTTTTATCAGGCAGCAGAGCAGAGGAAAACAAGCAGAAAATACAAGAACAGAAGCATACATGTGGCAGTAAAGGTTGGTTGTTGGGTTAAAATGGACCTTCCCCCACCTCCTCAATGGCTCTGGTTTCTTTGGAGTGGGCTCAGTTCACAGGGACAACCTTCACCCTGGAAATTCCATTGTTTTTAATATTTGAGGAATTTCCACCACAGCCTCACCCGTTTGCTGGTTTGTATGAGATGTGCCCCATACTCTCAAGCATTTGAATATTTGGTCCTCCTGTTAGTGGATGCTAGAATGCCCTGGCTGTAGAAAACAAGATTATTCCCAAGACCTGTCATTGCCACGGTGCTATGGGTCTATGACATCCACATCTCCAGGCTGGGGAAGGCAGTTTCCCAACATAGACTGCCTTGTATGAGAAAACAGTCTCAGAAAGAGATCATAAATTTCTCAAGAATGTCTTAATCTACATGTAATACTTCCCCCAAACACACACAGCTGCATCTGCTTCCTCCTACCCAAGCCCCTCACCTACTCCTAGAAAAGCCCTGACCAGCTCCCTTCCCTTAGCACAATTTTCATCCCAGAAAGTTGCAGGTTTATCTGTTCAGGTCAGACTTTGGTCTCTTCCCTGCCCTATTTTTTTCTTTGCTTTCCATTCTTAAATCAAACTGTGGTTGTGTGGAGGGGCTTGAGACTGGGCCTTGCTGGTGGAAATAGGTCTTGAGGTTTTGAAAGACTCACTACATTTGGAGTTTTTTCTCATCACCTCCTTTTGACATTTGAGAAGAAATCCCTCAGCCCCAGCTTCCAGTTGCAGATACCATGTCTACCAACTCCTTTCCGTGCCTTTATGGATCCTAGCCCTCTGGAACCATATGAGCCCAAAATAAACTCTTTCTTCTTTATTGCTGCCTTGGTTATGGTGCTGTGTCACAGCAATATAAACCTTAACTGAGGTAGCCTGGTACAAGACCTGAATTGAAAGGTCTTCTCCATGAAAGGGGGTTGGTTTCAGCAAACATAACTGTATACATGAGAACGTGGACTCTAGAAAGAGAGGGCCTGGGGTATCCAAGCAGGAAAGTGTCATGACAGAGTTAAGGACTCATGGTTTTGGACACCTGTCCCCTTGTGTACTATTAAGAGCTAAACTGAACACCTGGATCCTCTTAAGATACAGCCACAGGCCACACTACAACAGGAGCACCAATTGGAAAGAAAAGTACAGTAGAGCTTTCACACTTGCGTAATGGCAGTGCCCAACTGCATCTGCGCAAATGACAGGTTTGCCTATTCCTCGAGTACAGCCTGAGATCTCCTTGCGCATGCACTTATCATTGCCTCTTGTGACCCATTGGAAGCTCACCCTGAGCCTCTGTCATACCTTGGTGCTTCTTTGTGTTCCAGCAAATCAGAAGCATGCCGATAAAGAGATGGGCATAACAGGCTGCAGCTGTAGCTCAATGAAATGAAGCCACGGGCCTTCCCTCACCAGAAGGCAACAGTGATTGGACGACGCGTGCTGGAGCAGTCAGAAGCATGAGCATTGCGCAGGTACTGACTGCGCAGGCGCAAGTGCTTTGCCAGCCAATCAGAGGGCCTTGTACTGGTGTGTGGGCTAAACTAAGCGTGATCGACCTCTGAGGGGAAGGAGGCTGTGTGGTAGTGTCGAGGGGCCTAGGTGGGTGACAGGCCTAGGTGGGTGACAGGTCTTGGGGGAACTTCGTGTGGTGGGCTCCAGGGATGGTTTAGAGGAATCAGGAAAGACTAAGGCCCTTGTTGTAAGACTGTGGGGTCTCAGAGCCAGAGGTTCCGGGATAGCCTGTGAGGTGACCTTGGGAGCTTTACTTAACTTGGGGCTGGCACAGGTACCAGAGCCAAAAATGAAAAGTGGGGATAAGAGCAGCAGAAAGAGAGAGAGAGAGAGAGAGAGAGAGTAAGAGAGCGAGCGAGGGAGAGAGCGAGAGCGAGAGCGAGAGCGAGAGCGAGAGAGAGAGAGAGAGAGAGAGAGAGAGCTTGATTAGTAGCATTTGGTTCCCGACTAGACACTTGGGTCCTCCTGTGATGCATCCAAAAGCAATACCTCAACAGGCTAGCTAGCCTGAAGGGTTTGGGGAACCCTGGGTACTTCGGTACTTCAAACAATCATATGCAAAACAGCAGGGCCCAAGTAGGGAATGGGTGATGGCTGGGGGGACCTAACACCTTTGGGAATGCCTCTAAGAAGGTAGCCTCAGGCATGCTTGCATAGTGGTGTCCCTGCTAATCAGAGATCCATTCCTGGAGGTTGGGCCTCTGTCTGAAGGACAAGGAAGGGGCATCTCAGAGGACTGTATTGAAGTGTGATTTGCTGGGTGAGTGGCAGGGTATTAGCAGATTCAGTTTCCAGCCTCTGATGGTGAGAAAGCAGGGTCAGCCTGGATCCGCAGCCCTTTGGGGATAAGAGTGTGATCTTGAGGTGAAAGGGTCCAAGTTTATCTGTGTTGGTAAGTTTAGAAGACCTGGTAGTGAGATAGACCACTGAGGGCAGTGGAGAAAAAAGGGGTACAGATAGTTGCAGGTTTGAAGAGAGGTGGTTGTGAGAGTGGGGTGTAGAAGAGAAAGTAACAATCTCCCCCCACAAGTTCCTGTTTCCAGTTGTAGTCCTCAGTGAACATCTGGGTCCTGCTTATTTGCAGCCATGCGCCTGGCAGCAACAGAAATGCCTGTCTGGAGGGGATGGGGGAGGAATGGCCCCCTTCACCAACCAGCAGCTTCTGCATCCATATCCCACAGGGGCCAGTTCAAAGCCACTTCCTTCTGGGTGTATATGCCTTTCCATCCAGTCAGAGAGGTGTGCACTGGGAGGTGGGGCCTAGATAGGGATGACCAGCCATTCTTTAAAAAGAAGTAGGCTCCAGGGGCAGGAGAGTATCCTGGGTGGATGACTTGCTATTGGGGAACTCTGTTATGATGGTCAACAGTTGGGACATGGATTAGAGATTAGCCTTAGCTCATGTGGTAGCCCAGTAGCACCACAAAGAGGCATGTCCAAGGCAAACCTGTGGGGTGATACCAGGAGCTTCACTTCCAAATTGGACTGGACATGGTTCCAGATGACGAGGCTAAGGACAGGCCATGAAGGCTGCGGGATTGTGATGGTTAAGTGGGACAGCGTGTGAGCTGGGAGATGTGGCCTCAGTAACTAAATAGGCACCAGTGACTTCCCAGGTTCCAACCAGACACCAGCTTTAGGTAACTTGTTTTAATAGAGGCAAGACCCAGGATTTTCCTATCCAGGGGTTGAGAAAGCAGCAGAGGGTACTGATCTTGAAAAAGAGTTGTTCAGGGAGATCCAGGTGGTAGAGAAATGGGACAGGTCAGGACATTGGAGACATCCTCTTGCCCTCTCTTTGCTCCAACACAAGGGCCAGGACCTCTGGCCACCCTCTTTGGAGTCCTGGTCCCTGTTTCCACTGCTATCTTGTACTTCCTCCTGATATCTCTAGTTCTAGGATTCGTATCTCCCAAAGAAGATTCTAGCCATGTCAAGCAGAGAAAGGAAGGCCCCTGACAGTGCTGGCATGCACCCAAGGCTGGATCCAAATGTCACATCAGATGACACCCAAAATGCAGATTCAATCACTCCAGGTAAAACAAAACAAAACAAGCAAACAACAACAGCAAAAACCAGATGGGCTCCTGTTCACCCCAGAGGATATCCTAAAATCTCTTGGCAGGTGGAACACTGTTGTGCTCGTTTTAAAATTGTTTTTGATTTGGGGTGGTTCCCTTCCACCAACCCTTTAACCTTAGGTAAGAGAGAGAAGGTTAGTGGGGAGAGAGGCTGCAGACCCCTTTACTTTTCCTGGCTGTTTAGGGTCAAGGGGTTCTTTTGGGGCCGTACTAATTCTCTGTCAACAGTGAACACAGCAAGTAGTCTCCTCCATCTATCTCCTCCAAGCTACTGTGCTATGAGGCATCTCTCCCATGTCTCTCCTAACCACCACACTGTCCATCTCTGATCTCTCCAAACTGCCACACTTTCCCTTTCTGGGCTCTTGTATTTATATCTCTCAGAGACCTAGACCACACCCCTGTCTGTGCTGCATGAGGCAGGCTGTTACCAGCTTGCAAAGATCAAGCCTTGCAGGAGACAATATCAGCTGTGGACAAACTAAAGTCCCACACTTGGGATTAAAACAAAAACATGTTTACATAACATAACTTTGCATTTTTAAAGAAACCAGAACTTCCACTACAGAACACTGAGTGGATGTGGTGCTTGGACATTTGTTGGACTAGCAGGAGATTTCAGATGCTAATAACTGACTCAAGCTTGTTTGTGGCTTTAGGTTCGTCTCCCTGAAATTCCCATTCCACAGGAAACCTTCAAGGCTCATAAGGCATCCCTTTCTAATCAACATGCCTCTCTGGGAGCACATGGGTCTCAGTGACTGTCTGGAAGCCGTGTACCAGCTATTCCCAGACTCAAGTCTAATGTGTGTGTGTGTGTGTGTGTGTGTGTGTGTGTGTGTGTGTGTGTGAGAGAGAGAGAGAGAGAACATCTGTGTGTGTGGTGTCTGTGTGTGTGTATTGATGCATGTGCACGACTTCTTTAAAAAGTGCAAGTAATGGTTGGTGGCTATGGGCTCTAGAAACTGTTTTCCATGGGGGAATGATGAGAACAGCACACTTTGTTTGAAAACATTTTTCCTCTTTCTCTTTAATACAGCCAACGAAGAAGTTCTTGATGTCAGTACAGAGGACATTACTCCCTCAGGAGCAGAAGGGCAACGGGCCAGGTGATACCTTTCTTTTCTTTTTTTCCCATTCATGAAATATATTTAGAAAAGTTAGGCTGGAGAGTGTACATCAAACACTCTTCAGTGGAAGAGTGTTTGATGTACAAACACAAGAGCCTGAGTTCATATACACAGCACCCACAGAAAAAGCCATGTGTAGCCACGCATGCTTTTTTGGCCCAGAACTGAGGCATGAGGTGTGCCAGAGATAGGAGGGGGTTTCACGTGCTTCTTGACTGCCAGCCTGGCAAAATAAACTGAGATATAAATAAATAAACATGCAAATGAAATAGTAATTTAGGTGTGTGAATCCCATGAATGTGTGGGGTACATTGACCTTAAAAGCCCCAAAACATTCACCCTGCAGTCGATCAGATGTTCAACCTAATACAAAATGAAATTTTCATGCCCCCAGCAAACTACAAGTCCTGTCACAGAACTTGTATGACAACAATAAGGTGGAGATCAATAGAGGAGGGCATTCCACTTCTGTCTCTGATGGCGTCACACATTCACTCATGCCCTTGTCTTGCAGACAAAAAAAAAAAAAAAAAAAAATCTAGAAAAATCAGTGTCCACTCTCGAACCATGAACTGAATGTATGCTGTGTGGCACACTCCACTTCCTATGCTCACACAACAAAAGTGGCCTTTTGCATACATGGAAGTAAAAAATTAATGTAATTTCTTTGCAGGAAGAAAATACAGGATTTATTTGAAGAATTTGAAGGTATGTTCTAGGAGACATTAGGAATTTGAGAAAATTGTTTGACCCAAAGAAGTCAAGGCAAAGGAGTTGTTACTTGGCAGACAAGAGAAGTGTGTTTACTGCCTTGTTCTCAAACACTTGGTGTCAAATAGTATTTGTTAGATTGCTAACTCTCTACTTCACGTTAATTGTCGATATGAAGAACATGGCACCTGTAGTGTGAAGACTCTTGCTCACTGTGAGATACTTAAAAATTGGGTGAAAGTATCTGTCTTCCAGGTTTTTATTCACACAAGTGATACTATCTTCCAGGTTTTTATTCACACAAGTGATACATCTGTTTTTAACATCACATTTTCACTTCACTCATTTGTAATCTAGTCCAGTTATTTTAGGAGGGGAGTGGCTGGGTGGTGAGTGTCATGCCCTCTTAGATAGCTGCCCACTGTTTAACGTGCAAAAAATAGCACAGGAAGTGGAAAGATGAAGTCAGCACTGTTATTGCCTGTGGTCATTGTATGATCAGACTGAATCCTGCTTTAAATTTCTATCATATGTTAGTCACGTGAACTGTTTGAAAACATTACAAACTAAGAACCAGCTGGGAGCTCTGCAGAATTTTATAATGGAGAGTCACATCTAGAAACTAACCTGGACTCAGGATAGGGATGTACCCTGGTGGGAGAGCACTTGCCTAGTATGCTCAGGGCTCTGGGTTCCATCCCAAATTAAACAGACTTTTCCCATGTATCAATGTCTTTTTTTCTCTTTAAATTATTCTGGATCTTTACCTTATCAAATTCCTCTAAAAGCCTCAATGGCTACAATAATTGCAGTATTTTCATCTCACTGTGTAGTAATCTCTGTCCCTTTGGAGATTTTGTAAATCTCCAAAAAGTTTTATGAACTTTTATGTTTTGCATAAAGCAGCCCAGCAGTCCCTCTGAACTTGTCCTGGAACTGAATCATACCTAGTGCATTGATTAAATTTATACTTTATAAGTGACATCTCTTAAAGAAATTACACAGTGACTTGACACCTTTTTTGTTAAGTCTCCTCTAATTTGTTTGGTATGTAATATATAGACACTAAAGTCCAACTATCTAATTTCACATGAAGATCATGATCTTTGAAATTCTTGACTGAAAGAAAGGAGGCAGGTAATCTTTCCATTGGCAGCTTATTTCCATTTCTTGATAACAAGTGTATTCCCAGCACTGTTGAGGGAACATTATAGTCATGCTTATGTGATTGTTTTTCAATACAGGACCCATTAAGATCTTTCTTAAGGAAAACGGAGAAAGATTCAGAGCGATCATCAACGAGTCTTTCCAAACCATGCAGAAGAAAGTTGAGGATGTTCTCAAAGTCCAGTGTGGACTAAGGTAGGGTTGCATCTTGGTGCTTTGATGCCAGACCCGGTGACAGTTGATTAGTGAGTAAGGATGGCAAGAGATTGAGGAATAGCTGTGACCCCCACTGGCTAGAAGCTCTGTATGGAATGTTAGTAAAAAAATAGAACTTCTTCCTGAATTTTCTAGCTCTAAGAGCAATTAAGTGACTTACTCTCAGCCAAGGATGAAAGGATACTGTTAGTGTAAGTGTAAGACCGCATAGTGCATGTCACATTACTTTTCCCTGTCAGAATACTTAAATTCCCTTTCCCCATTCCTCCATTGAGAGAGTTAGTGAAGGCAAGTCAGGCATGCTTTGAATGCACTTTCTTCATGTTGTGAAGGAATCTCACACACAGTATACACTGTTGTCTTTTACAAGCAGACACTTTATGAACAATATTCTCTTCAGATTACGAATTTGAATTGGAAGTTAAACATGGATGCAGGTCAAGTCAAGAAACAGGCAGAAAAGCTCTCTGTGAGTATCAGGCTTAGCATTGAAGGAGTCCATTGTGTCAGCATCAGCAAGTCAGGAGGTAGAGGGACAGGATATGAGCTTAGGGAGGGTGGTGGCTGTGGTCAGGAGAGACTGACCATACTTCTCTCTCCTTGGCTTGCTTCCTTTTCTGGGGAGAGTTGTAGGCCTTAGTTTTTCAAATACTACTTTTGTTAGTACCTTAAAGCTTATACCTTCCTTCTGAACCCCATCCCCAGGTAGGGGAAAGGAAAATGCTTCATATGTCTCTTTACTTCTTCCTGCTGGGTAGAGTAATAGGATTCTTTTGGGAGCAACACCAGTATCAGTCGCAGGAAATCCAGATATCCAAGTAACCAGCAACCAGCAACCAGCAAGGGCAGCAAGCAGTCCTCCTCCATCTCCTCCAAGCCACCATGCCTTCTTCCTCTTGGCTACCATATTTATAAAGTTCAAAGTCCTCAGAATTCAACTAATTCCAGCTGGCAAAGACCATGCTCTGCATGAGACAATTAACATGTGTGAACAAAGCAAAATTCCCCACTTGGGATTATAAGAAAAACATGTTTACATATCTTAAACAAAAATATCTACAACAGAGAGAAGACAAAGTCAGTGATGGGTTAGGAGCCAGCATGGGGGTGGAGTCGGGGGCTGAGAAGGCACTGCCTGGAAAGTGCAGGAGAAGGTATAGGATTGCATCATGAGAGGGAGTCCTTCATGATCCATGATGTGAGGACACCAAGGAGCAGGAGGCCCAACCTAGCCTTCTGACACAGTGATCAAGGATGCAGCATGGGAGTAGTCAGTGTGGCTGTGGCAGAGCAGGTGGAAACTTAGCTTTCAGTGGTTGGAGTTCAGAGCAGCCCAGTCCCAGAGGCAAAGAGAAAAAGCCCTCTTGCCATTATGTACACTTTAAGGTGACTGTTTTGCCTCTAGAAGAGGGGAATGAGGTTTGTGGGACAGGTACTGTACTCTGAACAGTGTGCCTTTGGGGCCTCTCTCTTCCTGGTGGTAGATGGAGCTGCCCTCCTGAAGATTCTGATTTCCAAATGTGGGGAAGCAGAGGCTGGAGTTCTGGGGAAGATGGAGGTCCTGTTCTGTCCAGTAGTTCTAAGCATGTCCTTTGGCATCGCACCGTGTGGAAGGCAGTCACAGTCTAGTTCTTTGGCAGTTATGCTAACTCAGGAAACAGTTTACCTCTGTGATTTGGTTTCCCAGCAGTAGTAGTAGAGATACCTGAAGGCCCCATCCCACAGAACTGTTTCAGAAGTTTCTTTTCTATGTGTATTCTTACAGTGGTCCAGGAAAGCATCTGAAGTGGGTCTTAAAGAATCTATCCCTGTTAAGCATGGCAATATTGACTGTACTCTTAATGGAAAGGAGAAAATGGAGTGGGCTTTTATGTGGGGGGATGACAAATGATGGGGACAACTCAAGGTAACTTCTTTTAATGAAGAGAGTTCAACAGAGTTGGAAGCCTCTACTGGGAGGGTTTTCAATTCTTCAGAAACTAATAGGAATGTTTTGAACATTATTAAGTAGGAACACTTCTGATAAAATGAGTGGTCTTCACATTACTGTTATTTGGAATTATCAGGTAACTCATGTGAATGCAGTCGTTGTATTAACTGGAAAAAATATTAAAGTTATTCTTCCTATCTGCTTTGTACAAATATAATACAGAATTGTGTTTCTGTGAGCTTTGTGGCTTCCCTTAAATTGTTCATATATCTTTTACTGTCTTTGCCTGTAGAGAATATTTAAGGAGCAACGCAACTTTGTCCTTCAGTCTCTGGTTCTTCAGAAGGAGAGAATGGAAGACTTTAAATCTCTGTGTGAACAGTACTTGGAGGTGTGTTGTACATCCTGACAATGCAACTTGTAGACGGGAACACTGACCTTTGGAAAGTTAGCTGTAAACACCTTCCAGCATTATCCACATGCCCCATGATCCATGTAAACCTAAGTACAAAATGAGTGTTTAATTTTGTGATTCACTCAGGGTTAGGAGAGTCATTGAAGCAGGAATTGCTGCCTTAGTAATTTCATCCAGAGTTGTTCAAATTGTAAAGGGCATTGATGCTTTTCAGAGAGTCCCATCTTGTCTCACAATGCTGTTTCCTTCTGGTAAGTATGTGCAAACATGGATACACATGTGTATCTGTTTGTGCATGTATGTGTGGAGGCCAGAAGTCAACTGTGGGTACCTTCAGTCACTGTTTGCCATATCTCTTTTTTTCCCCTTCGTCTTTTTTGCCTTTTTATCACTATGTAGCCCTGGCTGTCTGGGAACTCACTGTGTAGACCAGGCTGGACTCACACTCACAGAGATCCACCTGCCTGCCTCTGCCTCCCAAGTGCTGGGATTAAAATGAATGCCTGGCTCCATCCTACCTTTCTGAAACAAGATGGCTAGTGGACATGGAATTTACCACTATGGCTATGCTGGCTGTTCACCAGGTCCCTAGGCTCTGCCTGTTCGACCTCAGGTTTATGTGTCATCATACGTGGCTTTTAACATGTGTGTTGGAGAGCTGAAGTTGGCTTTTTATGCTTGTGGAGCATGCTCCTTGTCCACTGAAGCTGTCTTCGTAGACCCTGCAGTCCATTTCTAAACAGAGTAGTGACATAAATATATAGCACCTACACTTTCTTTACTTGCTCAGTCCATTTTCAGTTTGCATCGTTGCATGGCTGAAACATAGCTTCATATGGCCAATTACAATTGTGAGACAGCGCTCTGACTTAGCACACAGTGAAAAGGTAAGCAGTAGGCTGACTGTGGGATTGTGAATTGAGAATTACCCTCTGTAATAGGCCTGTCTTTGCTAATTCTTCCTAGGCACACTGACCTATACTACCTGCAGGTTCATAGTTATTTACAAAATAATTAAATACAGCATTCTCTGGTTTTGTTCAGACTTGACTTGAATGGGCTTGTTCAAGTTGCTGTTAAAATTTTGTTCATCCAGAGTAATTAACATGACCCAAAACACCTGAGTTGATAGGATCCATCCCTTGCTTTTTTATGATTGTCCCCTTCAACACCAACCCCTATCTCTCTCTCTCTCGCTCTCTCACACACACACTTCCAGTATCTGTTCCTTCTGAAATATTCTTTTGACAACTCAGCAGCCCAGAAACTTGCTTGTTCATTCCAATCTTAAGACCTCTTTGTTGTTCCTGTTTCTATGGTCACTGCATCACTGGACTGTGGAAGAGGTCCTGCAAAGTTTTAGAACCTCTCCGCTGGGTTTAACAAAACCATTTAGGGGACTGGAGAGATGGCTCAGAGGTTAAGAGCACTGAAGAGGACCCAGGTTCAATTCCCAGAACCCACTGTAGCTCACAACTATCTGGAAGTCCCAGCGCTGATACCCTCACATAGACACACAGGCAGACTAAACACCAATGCACATAAAATAAAAATAAATTTTGACAAAATACTTTCAACCTAAAAAATGTTCATTTATGATGTGTCCTGTTTCTGCTAAAGGGAATGTGTGTGTGGAGGTGGGGGTTGAAGAAACCCTGAGTTTTAATTTTATGGTGTGCTGTGGTCATACTACAGGTCAAGCTATTCCATCTCACAATGAAGTGGGTGAGTGACAATAAATGAGCTCATGCCTCGTGCTCACAGTTTCCATTTGGCTTCCTTTGCTTTTCTTTTTGCTGTGTGGGGTGAGAGGTTCCAGGGTCTCACACATACTGGGCAAGCACCCTTCCCCTGAGCCACACCCACAGGAAAATACCTCATCCTGTGAACATTAAGCAGTGGGCTGAGGACTGGCAATGTCTGTGTCACTTTGGTGGGTGTTTTGAACTTCATGTTGTATATGTTGTATATGTTTTTTTTCCCTTGTAAATGTTGCGGATAGCGTTTGTAAGGCAAGGTGAGCAGGGTTGATTTCTGCACATGTCTTTTCACTTTAGAAACTTGAGATGCTGAAGTACTCCTGGGAGAATTCTGTGTTTGAAGAGCTGAGACGTCTCATAGACACCTTGCCATCGTCTACCTGCTCATCATGAGTTCTCTCTAAGCCTATTTGTTTTTACCTTTAAAAGCCTTATTACTATGGCAACAACAAATCATCAGGGTAAAACTAAAAACAAAAACAACAACAAAAACCCCACCCACCCTCCCACCCTTGTTTTGCCTAGTCTTTGGGAATGGAACTGCTGTCCTCTGCAAGAGCACTGCATCCTCTTAACCAGTGAGTCATCTCCTCCACCCTATATGATAGAGAATATTTGTAAGTAAAATAAAAATCCGTACATTAATTGCAGAACATAGAGTTATGTCTGTATGCTTTAATTTATTTTTTATGGCACAGAGAAGCTAAATTGATTTGAGTCTGTCAATATACATGTTCTTTTGTGGCACAGTGAAATATTTTAATGAAACATGGTTATAAACCATGTTTATAAACATTTAAATTTTTATTTTACTATTTTCTGTGTATGGTTGTTTTGCCTGTGTGTGTATATGCATACCACATAACTCCCTGCTACCATCAGAGGCCAGAAGAGGCATCAGATCTTCTGGAACTGGAGTCACAGATGGTTGTGAGCTGCTATGTGGGTGCTCAGAACCTAATCTGGGTCTTCTGCAAAAGCAGCAGTGAGTACTCTTAATCACTGAGCCGTTTCTTCAGCCCTGTTAATAAACATTTTAGAGATGTATATTCAGAATCATTGCTGGTATGCCACAAACTGCACAAAATATGAGCAATGTATTACAATAATATCTGTTGAGCAAGGAAGTCTGTATATACTTTTAATTCATTTTTGTCTGATGATTTAAGCTGGACTTAACACATGGCCTCCCAAGGAACACTTTCTTTTCCAAGTTTGGTTTCTAAAAAAATAGGTTTAGTTTAGGATTCTCAGCTGAAAGTATTCTCAAAAGTTAAATATTTAAGTTTTGTTGTTGGTTATAAAGTTTAAGTGTAAGGAAGAAGAAAATTCATTTTGTTCTCAGAGAGAAGTTTTTCAGACACAACTGCCGGGGAAGTGGAGATTACTAGAGAAGTAGGGCAGACCCATGCTAGGGACTTCTAAAAGGACCAAATGTTCTGCAATGCTAAGAAGAGCATGCAGACAAAAGAATAAGCTTTTACTTGAAAATGGCAATTTTTCCTGCTTTGGAAGTTCAGGGAAATAGAGAATGTTTGGATGACAAACAAGAGCAGCCCATTCCCATCCTCCCCTTGGCTTAGGAAACTTCATAGGACCCTTCTACCTGAGTTAAACAGGACCTCCTGGTTACTATCAACTCCACTCACTTTACGAATACTTATCTCTCTCTCTCTATTTATTTATTCCACTTTTTATTGATTCTTTGTGAATTTCACATTATGTACCCCAATCCCACTCATCTCTACCCTTGCAACCTCTCCCCCAAAAGAAAAAGAAGGGAGTGGGCGGCTGGAACAGCTCTGTCCTTGGAGCAGAAAACACCTGCAAAAATAAAAAAAAGTCTTTTTATCCATCTCTTGAAGATTTAAAGGTAGACAAAGTAATTCAGAGTCAAAGTGCCTTTTCTGCCAACCCTGCCAACAAAGTTCTTTTGATGGACGTTTCTGCTGTTCTTCTTCCAGATGGAAATCTCTATCCAAAACTGTAATCGGAGTTCTCTCAATACATGGAACTGACTTTAAATGAAGAAGAAATATTTGCAAATATGCCCATGGTCTCTGGAGCACCAAAGCAAGGGCACTTGGTAGCAAGACTATCCAGTGTAAACTATATGGTAGCACCGGTGACAGGTAATGATGCTGAAATTTGGAGAGCAGAAATTAAGCAAGGGGTTCATGAAATCAGTTTGTGTAAGGACCAACATGGAAAAATTGGGCTAAGACTTAAGCCAATCGACAATGGTATATTTGTTCAGCGAGTCCAGGCTAATTCCCCAGCCTCCTTGGTTGGTCTGAAGTTTGGGGACCAGGTACTCCAGATCAGTGGTGAAAACTGCAGACTGGAGCTCTGATAAAGCAAACAGGGTGTTCAAGCAGGCATTTGGAGAGAGGATTACCATGATCATTTGTGACAGGCCCTTTGAATGGACAGTTACTATGCATAAGGACAGCAGTGCCCATGTTGGTTTAAACATAGAAAAGACACATCCATAGGGAAAGATAGTTCTGCTGCCAGAAACAGCCTTCTCACTGATCATCACATCTGTGAGATCCACAGACAGAAGGTTATTGGCTTGAAGGAGGCTCAGAGTGCAGATATACTGTCAACAGCTATAGTTACCATCACAATCATGCCAGCTTTTATCTTCAACCATAGTATGAAATGGATGGCACCAAGTATTATGAAAAGCCTGATGGATCACACCATTCCTGAGGTCTAACAACCTTGTACAATGCATCATAACTGAATGTTTCCAGTTTTCCTCTTTGGCAACTTATCTGTTTCCCACATGAAGCTTTCCCAGATCCAGGAAGAATATGGTACACGTAGACTTTTTATCTTCCACCACGCTGGGAACCTCACTCTAGCTGATGTCTTCTTCAGATTTTAAGACAGATGTAGCCTAATCCTGGTTTACTTTTAGCAGATTTACTGACTTTCCTAGACTCGGTTCTTTACTGAGAACCTGATAATTTTATAAGTCATTGTGATTAGGATATTGATGTAGGCTTAGCTGTGTCTGAGAACTGTTTGGCTTTCTCCTAGACAAAACACAGCGTGAGATGTGCTTCAGCTCTGTGCCTACCTGGATTTTAGTATGTCAGCATAGTACCTTTAGGATGATTGTCTTTGATGGTCATTCTTAAACTTTTTTGTGTGTGGTTATACAAAATTCCAATTAATCAACACTGGTTTCATTCCACAAATCATTATACAGTGTGTGTAGGTTGCAAGAGACTCATGATCGTCACTACTAAATTTTAACTACCTTCACTTAATATGCTTCAACTGTCTCCTTAACTACAGTAAGCATTTAGATAGAATACAAGCCAAAATAGAATTATTCCTGCCTTCTGAAACCTGAAATGTTAACTCTCTATTAAGCTGGCCTGTGTGAGCCCTGAGAAACTTACTAGGAAAGCAGAGCTGCCTAGTTGTATCAAGATTTTCTAGTCACTGAATAAAGGAAATACCTAAAAGTTGCCATGGCGTTTTCTGAAAATACATTGCTATATATTTCATGTAAAAGTTGTTATACTAAGTAGAACACACTTTGGAGCCTCCTTTTAACTTGTAGACTAAGTGGGTATTAGTTAATTTGTAATTTGAATCCTAACATTATGTAACTTAGCTATGTTGGGGTGGTTTTAGAATATTTCCCTAATGTCATTTTAATTTGTTCCATTTTCTGACTCCATCCTGTAAACAAAAAAAGGGCAATGACAGTTTGCCTTGATTTTTTTCTTTTTGATTTATGCCTATTCTATTATTTTATCTGATATTATCTTATTAAATGTATAAAAATATTAAAAGAAAAAGAAAAGGAAAACTCTCATCGTGGAAGCTGTAGTGTAGCACAGCGTGTCCCACAGTAAATCCATTTGTCCATCTATGGATATAACATAGAACTTCTGCTTGGATGTGGCCCGTGGTAGCTCAGTAAACCAAGTAGTTTTCCAAAGTAAGGGGAACAAGGACTATTTCTAACAGGATCTCAAGGGCAGGCTCTTTGACCTCCCCCCTTCCCCAGGGGAGGAGCAGTCCTGTTAGGCCACAGAGGAGGACTTTGCAGCCAGCCTTGAAGATACCCGATAAAACAGGGTCAAATGAAAGGGGAGGAGGTCCTCCCCTATCAGTGGACTTGGAAAGGGGCAGGGAGGAGACCAGGGAGGGAGTTGGGGAGGGGGAGTGAATGAGGGAGCAGGATACAGCTGGGACACAGAGTTAACAAATTGTAACTAAAAATAAAAATAAAATAAAAAAAAAAACAAAAACATTATAAAAAAATCCATTTGTCCACACTTCTTTGCTTGCAAATGTTCACTTTAATGAGTCATTGATCTGGTTTGAGGCCTCTGGCATACCATCAATACTGAATCCTCACAGGGACTCCTCTCAGATATCCTATTGCTTCCATATGCCATGGAAATTCTACAGCTTTGGATTTGTAGGACTGGGCCCCTTCACGTGCTCCAGCAGTTTATCAATAGGGAAGTGTGGGGAGTCGCTGCTCTGCCAGCCTGCTTTGTTATTTTAATCTCAGTGGAAAGACATGCTTTCACCCTGGCTTTCACTGGAGTCAGAGATAAGTCTATCTCCTTTTGTTTGAGACAGCAGGTGGGATGTCTTGTTAAGCTCACAGGTTTTGTTTGTGTGAAGATCACACAGACAGGTGGTCAAGGTAAAGAAGATTTGAATTCCCTGTGAATTCATTCATTGTACTGAGGTGCTTTTGCTCTGACTTAAAAGGGGATTACTGGAATAAAGCAAGGTGCGAATAGTTTTCTACTAGAAGTCTCATGGAAAGATCTCATGTGTAGTGAGTTGGTTTATTAATTTTCCTTTCAATCCTCATTCCCGACTCAAGAACCTTCAACTCTGCCGGCAGGCTCTGGCCGGGTAGATGTTGGGGTGGGCCAATTCAAAGCCTGGACCTAGGCCTGAGTGAGCTGAGCTGCTCATCCTGCCAGCTCTCCTGCACCCACACCACCACCACCAGGGTGAGCTCTCCAGCACTGTCCTGGCTAGTTCATCCAATGCTGCAGTTGGGAAGGGGCAGAGTCAGCTCTCCCAGTCTCATGCCCTCAGGGCCAGACCTTCTGCACCCAAGCCTGCAGGGCCAGCTCCACTGTGCTGCCCAGGTGAGGTGCAGGGCCCATTCTCGACTGCTTGAGCATGTGAGAGGCTGGGACAGCTCTCCTGATCTCATGTCTTTGGGGCAGGTGTAATATTTATCTTTATTTTAAATTAGCATAATTTTTGTAACAATAAAGACTCGGAAGGTATAAACTAAGGTAAAAACCTGATTGCTGAGTGAGGTAACTTTACTTTCTTAACTATATACTAAGTGCATATTTATAAGCCTGATTCTACACTAAACTACTAGCTCT